GTCAGAACGGGGTTTCGCCCCCCTCCAGACACCCCAGCCCACAGCCGGCCAACCGCCCGCCCCCCCACCCTGTTCAGAAACGGCTCTCGGAAGTGCCCTCCACACCTGGTGGAGGTAGAGGCCATCCAGCACAAAACCACCCAGATCTTCCACAAGGTCTACTTCCCGGACGACACGGATGAGGTGAGGGCCGGGGCTGCCCCTTTCTCAGAGCTCAGGGCCGCAGACCCCTGCCCCCCTCCCCCGAAGGGGGCCCTCTGCTCTGGTCTTGTCTTCAAAGGCCCCGGGGCAGGTGGCCTGGGAACCCCACCTCTTCCCTGGCCGGGGCAGCGCATCCTGCAGGGAGACCTGAGTTTCCTACGCGTAGACTTCGGGTTTGAACCCTTTCTCTGACTTGCCTGAGAGTAGAGGCTCAGATATGCCGCTGTAGGATTCCCGCCACAAGGACCTGAAGTCCTGGCCTGCAGCAGCAGCACCCCAAGTCTCTCCTCCCTCTTCCCCAGACTCCAAGCCCTCACCCGCCTGGGCTGCCTCTCCTCTTCCTTGAAATCCCATTTCTGTCGTGCCCCCTTGTACAGCCAGGCCCATGAGCCCCCTAGGCCCAGGAGCTTGAGGCCCAGGACCCTGGAGGCCCAGGACCTTAAAGGCTGAGGACCTGGAGGCCCAGGGCCCTGGAGGCCCAGGCCTGTCTAGTGAGGGTCAGGGACAAGATCAATGAAGACCTAGACAGGAGTAGATTTCTCCTTTTTTAAATTGCTGCACCCATGAGGGAGCCCTCCGAGGGAAGGTGGCTCTCCCGGAGGCCAGGCCCCATGCGCCGCCCCTTGCAGGCCTTCGAGGTGGAGTCCAGCACCAAGGCCAAGGACCTCTGCCAGAACATCGCCTCCCGGCTACTGCTCAAGTCCTCCGAGGGGTTCAGCCTCTTCGTCAAGATTGCAGACAAGGTGGGTGGCGGGTGCCCGCCTGTTGGGGGATTGGGGTTTGTGGGTGGCAGCGGGAGGAGGGAGAGTAGGAGGGATGGGTGCGCTGGTGTGGGCATCCGTGCCTGCCTCCTCACGCGGGCAGCCCCATCTCGGAGCAGGGGCCATACATGTGGCCTCAGGCCCTTCCGGGAGTCCCGAGCCCAGGCACTCTGTCTGGACACGCGGGCTCCTCGCCTGCCTCCGCACACGTACCCAGATGTGCGCGGGCTGGTCCTTCAGCCGCTGTGCGGGGCCAATTCGCCCTTGACATAACCTTGAAGGGAAGGTGATTACTAGGTCCTAATAGGTCACAACCTATGTCAGAGAGGTGAAGTAACTTACCCAAAGTCACACAGCAGGGGACTCAGATCCAGCGAGGCCTGCCTCCAGAGCCCATGCTCCTGCCACCCTCCCACATCACCCCTGCCCCAACCTCTCTGGCCGTGGAAGTCGTGAAGGCCCAGGCTCAAAGCCCTTCCCCGCCGCGGGAAGGCCTCCCTGGCTCTCCCAGGCAGGAACAGGTGCTTCCTCCTGCTGCCACTCACGTTGCTGTGTGCCTCCATGTCTGTCTCCTCCCTCTGTGACCCCATGCCAGACACTGGGGACCCAGAGGCGACCCCAGTGAGATCCTGGACCTCAGAGCCTGTGGGGGCAGGATACCAGAGAATGTCCAAAACAGGGGTCGAGCCTTGTCCGTGGCCGCTTTCCCGAGGGCCTGGTGACCTTCGGCATCCTGGGTGCTGAGCGGGCTGACAGCCACCCTGCTGGCAGGAGGCAGGCCGCTCGGGCTGGGCGGGTGACAGCGGGTGGAGCCTTTCTGGGGAAGGAAGGCTTTGTGCCATCAAACCCGGGGACTCCGTGGCTGCGGCCCTAGGTCATCAGCGTCCCTGAGAACGACTTCTTCTTTGACTTCGTCCGCCACCTGACAGACTGGGTAAAGAAAGCGCGGCCCACCAAGGACGGTGAGAAGGCGGCCTGGGCGCACAGGGCGGGTGGGTCTGGCTCCGTGCTGGGCCTCCCGTGACCGGCTGCCCTGTGCCACAGGAACCGTGCCCTCGCTCACCTACCAGGTGTTCTTCATGAAGAAGCTGTGGACCACCACGGTGCCAGGGAAGGACCCCATGGCCGACTCCATCTTCCACTACTACCAGGTGAGCTGGCCAGCGCCGCCCTGCCCTGGTCTCCGCGCTGCAGTGCGTCAGCGACCCGGGGCCCTCAGGTGGGCGGTCTAAGCGAGCCAGGGGGTGGGGGGTGGATTCTGGCCAAGATGACACTCCTGCCCCGGTGGCCCAGCCTCCTTTCACCTCACCTTGGTCCTCAGGGGCTTGAGCGCTCTCTCCTGAGCTCTGGGGATATCCCAGGTCCCCACGCAGCCCCCGAAACCCCTCCCAGCAGAGGTGCGCACCTGCGGGAAGCCGGGAGGGAGCTTGCATGTGGAGCATCTTGTCACATGTGTCTGGCTCTCACTCATGGTTCTCCCGCCAGTCTCCAGAAGCAGGCAGGTAGTTCTTATTCACAGAGGGGGACTGAGACTCGGAGAGGCCGAGTGACAACATGGGGACCACACAGTTGACGGAGCCTGGGTTTGATCCCCCACCTCTGTGACCGCAGACCCGGGCTGTTTTCTAGGCTCCAGCCTAACCACTGTGGGGACAGGGATGGTGGCCCGAGTCAGGCCACCCTCAGACCTCGTCACCTGCCCTCGCCCCACCCTTGACTCCCCCCGCTCCGTCTCCCAGTCCCAGATCCCTCACCTGACAATTCCATGCACACCCCCACTCCCGCCCCACCACACCTAGGTCCGGTCACCACCTCTCATCTGTGTAGGCCGCAGCTTTCTCCTTGGTCTCCCCCGTCGTTTTTGTCCCCTTCGATCTATTGTCCATGGGTGGCCATCTTGCTTTCCAGATCCTCTCAGTGGCTTCCACTGCTGAGAGCGTAACCCCAACCCTGTGGCCCTGCATGGGGGTGCCTCTGCCTACTCCTGCCGCCTGTCTTGTGCCTGTCACCCGTGGCTCGGCCCAGCTGCATTTTGTCAGACCCTCGGGTGCCACAGGGCCTGTGTGAAACGTCCTTCCTTGGGTTCCTTCCCTCACCGCTGAGCGTTCAGGTGTCAATGCACGTCTAACCTCCCGTCTCCCCGGTGCTCGAGACCAGCTCAGGCTGCCGCTCACGCTCTGGCCGCGCTGCGAGCAGTTCCTGCAAAGCCTGCAGGTGGACACTGGCTGGGTGTGATTGAGTCCATGTCTGCTCTTGCCTGGGACTATAGTTTCCATCAAAGTAGGGAGGGTAGGCACTGCTCCTTCGAGGACCCGCCTCATGGGAGACGCTCAACGAAGATTTGCTGGTTAAGGGGGTGCGAGCTGCGAACTCAGTGAGTGGCTGGGTGGAAGGCTGGCGGAACGTGTGGGTGGACACTGTGGGTGGCAGGGTAGGTAGGTGGGTGGATGAATGGGCAGACTGGGAAGACATGGGGCGTGGGGGTGGCTGGGCAGGTAAGTAGGCGGGAAGGCAGGTGACTGTCTGGAAAGGCAGCTGGGTTATGACCCATACCTCTCTGGCAGTGTGGCCTCAGGGCGCCTCAGAGTCTCTGCCCTTCAGAGAGGCTCCAGGAGCCTGTGGGCAGTGATGCCCTCCAAAGGCTTCATCTGCTTTAGTCCACTCCCCATCCTCGGCTACTCTGGTGTGGGTCTGAAGCTCAAGGCGGTGGGAGGATTGATGCTGCTGCTGACACCAGCCGGTTTCAAGGGAACACAACGAGAAGGGGCCAGACTGAGAAGATGGAGAAGCTCTTCTGGGGGAGGGCTGGCCTGGGAGCCTTGGGGTGCAGGACAGGCTCAAGTTCACTGAGCTTGTCTTTGAGCACAGTCGCTGGACAGTCCCAAGGGACCTAGAATGACATTCGCACAGGGCTGTGCTTTAGACGGCAGTGCTGAATCTGCAGGCTTGCTCTCCCCTGACCTGTCCCACGCCATTTCCCCTGGGGGAGCAGCTTTGAGCAGGGGCTGCTCACCTCGCTGGACAGTCCCAAGGGACCTAGAATGACATTCGCACAGGGCTGTGCTTTAGACCGCAGTGCTGAATCTGCAGGCTTGCTCTCCCCTGACCTGTCCCACGCCATTTCCCCTGGGGGAGCAGTGTCGGTCAAAGCTGGAGACGAGGCTAGGCCCAAACATGGGCATGGGTGGCCTTGGGGTGCTGGAGAAGAGGCCACTTTCTCCAGGTCTCTCCACACCTTGATCTGCTCTGTGGCAGGAGCTGCCCAAGTATCTCCGAGGCTACCACAAGTGCACCCGGGAGGAGGTGCTGCAGCTGGGGGCGCTGATCTACAGGGTCAAGTTTGAGGAGGACAAGTCCTACTTCCCTAGTATCCCCAAGCTGCTTCGGGAACTAGTGCCTCAGGACCTCATCCGGCAGATCTCACCTGATGACTGGAAGCGAGTGAGCATGCCCGAGGCAGTGGAAATGGGCCCCCCCCATGGGTTTCTAGGTACCCCGGGGCCAAGGCGGCAGGACTGGCCAATATCCCAGGGAAGCAGCTCTTGTGGCTCCTGTGTGCATTAAAGCTACTGTTCTAGTCTGTTCTGTTGCTGAACAAGAATACCCAGGTCCAGGTGATTTATACAGAATGAAGGTTTATTTAGCTCACAGTTTGGGAGGTCTAAGGTCAAGGAGCTGCATCTGGTGAGGGTCTTTTTGCTAGGTGGTGGCTCTCTGCAGTCCCAAGAAAGGGCAGGGCATCACACAGGGAGATGGAGCAGTGTGCTGTGTCCTTGTCTAATCTGATCTTAGAAAGCTACCAGGAGTCAGTCATGGGGCCCCATCCCAGTGACCTCAAGTAATCGTAGTCACTTCCAAAGGCCACCCCGGAGCACCACAATTCAGTTTCCACACATGAATTTGGGGGACATACTTAAGCCGCAGCAGCTCCCCTCCAGTCCCCCTCTGCCTGGGGTATCCTCCAGTGCTCCACACAAAGGCTTGATGGCCACTTGGTAGCAATCACCTGTCCTGGTTACCATGGTGACCTGATTTTACTAGATGCCCTTTGGCCTGGCTTCCAGGGAGGGAAGGGAGCCCAGATCCCAGGAGCACCTGGCTACACCCACCCCTGAGTGCAGATGGGGCGGGGGGATGTGGGGCTCTGAGTAGCCTTTGCTGACCCCTCCCTTGCAGTCCATTGTTGCCTACTTCAACAAGCATGCAGGGAAGTCCAAGGAGGAGGCCAAGCTGGCCTTCCTGAAGCTCATCTTCAAGTGGCCCACCTTTGGCTCGGCCTTCTTTGAAGTAAAGGTACACAATGGCAGGGCTGGGGCGTCCTCTTCTCTGGGAGGAAGGAGGTGGGGGACGTTTTGAGATGGCTCAGAGATCCTTCCCAAGGACTGTGGGGACAGCCACGGCCTTGGATATCTGCCCTGGCAAGGGAAGGGGACCCCCTTATCCTGGCCCAGCTCGATCCCTTGGCAAAGGATTCAGCCCTGAAAACAGGAGTCCTGGGGCTCAGCCTGGCAGGGAGGGAGACATGGAAACCATCCAGAGGAATGCAAGGTGGCCTGTACTGACTGAGGAGAAGCTAGGGGGCTTCCTGGAGGAGGTGACAGCCGAGTCTTCCAGGGAGACTATTTCTGGGGGTTGGGGGTGTCCACATGTCAAAAGCTCAGAGCCACGAGAGCCCAGGTCTGGCAGGACATGCACAGGGCTGGGCATGGACAGGCACAGGGGAAAGTGAGCCGACTACAGCCAGAGCCTGGCCATACATGGGGCTGGGTTCCTCCTGCAGACGGCCATGAGCCTTGAAGGTTTCCGATAGGGATAGCAGGGCCAGAGGCCACACTGGCTAGAAGGGAAAAGGTGGATCTGAGGGGCGGGAGCAGAGGCAGAATGCTGAAGGGGCTAGTGAGAGGCCAAGGGCTGAGCCTACCCCAGCTAGTGCAGGAGGCCCTTGGAGAAGCCTGAAGGGAAGAGGGAGGCAGGCAGGGTTGGCACAGCAGGGGAGGGATGAGGTGGGAGTCCTTTGGGCAGAGAGAAAGGACTTCTAGAGAAGCAGGAGAGGAGGGATGGAACGGGACTGCAGCTGGGGAGAGGGGTCACCTGGGGAACCACGGAGGGACATGGGGTAGCAATGAGGGCCCAGCAGAGGGGAGCCATGGGTTGGGGCAGGCACAACGCCTCTGCGCCCTGGCACCATGCAGGCCACAGAAGTCAGTTTTGCTCTGGGATGGGGACTGGGTGGCTTTGTTCTTGTCCTGGCTTTTCCTGTACTCACTTCCGTCAACAGTTCCCACCTCTCTCTGCTAGCAAACCACAGAGCCCAACTTCCCTGAGATCCTCTTAATTGCCATCAACAAGTATGGAGTCAGCCTTATCGACCCCAGAACCAAGGTGAGTGGGCCAGGAAGGGGCGGCTGGACGTGCTTCTCTGTCCCAGCGGGAGTCCCCCCAGGACTGGACCCTGTTGGCCCCACCCCAGCTCCCACCTGCTGCTCTGGCCTCAGGTTTGAAAGGCCGCTCTCGCCCCTCCTTGCTCCGTTTCTACCTGGGTCCTTGCTCAAAGCCCAGAACCCCCCGAGGACCAGGCCTTACGTAGCACTGGTGAACCAACTGCTCCCTCCCTCCTTCCGTAGGGGAGGTGGCCAGGCTGGAGTGACAACGTCAGTCATGTGTGTGGGCTGGGAAACGCAGTCCTGCCAGGTGTCCCAGAGGGTACCCTGCAGAGTGGTGAAGGCGCTAACAACCCACAGGCCCCAGTCCCTAGCTCTCCTCTCTCCCAGCCATTCCTCCTCACATGCTGGTGGGCTCCTTTCCTACCTTCCTCACCACGTGCCCAAGGCATGACTTTCATCCAGGCCCTGCAGGCCACCCAAATTTCCCTGCAGCCTCCTGGCTTTCCTGGGGTGTCCGCCCAGCTGTCCAGACCAAGGCGTGAAGGGGAGGTACTTCTCACAGCAGCTCCAGGGCAGGGCTGGCCTTCCTCCTGCTTCTACTCATCTAAGGGCCCAAGGCCTTCTGGGAGGAGGTGTCTGTGGGCTGGAGCTGGGGCAGTGCGGCCAGAGTGGGGGCTGCACTGCTTCAGCCTCTCTGCTCCCCCAGGACATCCTGACCACGCACCCCTTCACCAAGATCTCCAATTGGAGCAGCGGCAACACCTACTTCCACATCACCATCGGGAACCTGGTGCGCGGCAGCAAGCTGCTCTGCGAGACTTCGCTGGTGAGCGCTGCCCTCCGGGGGTCCCAGGACAGGCCTGGGGGGAAACCAGGCCCAGGCCCAGGCTGGGGCTGAGGTCAGCTTGGTTGGGGCTCAGTGTCCATTTGGGGCCGAGGCAAAGACCCTCAGCCTACAACTGTCACGGGCTGGCACCTGGGGCTTGAGCATGTGGCTGTGGCCTTGGCCTCTGAGCCCAGCACAGGCCTGGAGTCATGCGTCCCAGAGTGTCCAGGATAAGCCAGCACTTTGTTGTGGGGGCCCTACCGCCCAGAACTAGCCTTCTGGCTGGCCAAGTCCAACCTTCGGGTATACAGAGGGAGACAGTCCTGATCTGCCCCGGCTGTGATTCCAGGGAGCTGCTCTGGGCCCAGGTGGCCAGACTTGTCCCCTCCAGCCCCACTGACCTGCTGCTCACTTCCAGGGTTACAAAATGGATGACCTCCTGACTTCCTACATCAGCCAGATGCTCGCAGCCGTGAGCAAGCAGCGGGGCTCCAGGAGCGGCAAGTGAACCGCTGGGACAAGACGCTGGCCCCGTGCCCACGCTGCTGGTGGCAGATGGCTTACACGCTTCAGCCAGTCTGGGTCAGGGGACTGGGCCTCTGACCCCTCTTCTAGGGAAGCAGCCTCTCTGGGACGCAGACCTTCTGTCCACCTGCCCTCTGGCACCTGGGCTGGTTCCAGGCCTGGCTTGCTGGGGCCTTCCCAGCTGTAAGAGCCCAAGCTCCTTGGCGCCCTCCTGTCTCAGACCAGCCCTCCCCGTGACCTCCTCTGACTTTGTACTGTTGGGATAGACGGATCGAGGACAGTCTAGCACTCCTGCCGGGGCACAGCCAGCCCAACCATGTACTGACCAGAACACTATCCTACTGTTGAGGCTTAGAGCTAGCCCCCCAAGCCCAGGTCCCTCTGCTGGGGTGAGGGAGACAGACTGCTTTTCCATTTTGCAGTGGGAGTGCCCACTCTGTTTTATCCTCCGGCCCTACCCTGTCTTGGCTGAAGGTGGGAGTGTGGAATTAGGATAGGGCCCTGGAAGGGGGTGGCCTCCTGGGTCTGGGTCTGGGTCTGTACCTGCTGGGCCAAGCCAGTCTGGTTTGGTGGTTGGGGTGATAGTGTGCTTGAACGTGGCTTAAAGGAACTAACGGGGAACAGGCAGGTTGGGAGGAAATGCTGGACGTCGGCCAGCAGGTAGGAACCCAAGTGTAGGGACTCGTGGGTTGGGGAGTCCAGAGAGGGGGTCAGCTTCTCAGCCTTGACTGGGGATGGTGGAGCCAGACTGCCCTTGCACCTTCCAGAAACATCTCCATGGTGCATCAAGGCAAGTCCAAGATCCCCACAGTGCTGCCACGAGTTAAAGCCTCACCTCTGGCGGGTGCCTATACCGTACTGCTTTGTGACCAGGATGGAACACCAGATTTGACCATGGTTCGGTTAGGTCTGGGGCAGGGGCTTTAGACAGGCGAGGCATGATCTGGGGGAGGGCCATTCTGCTGGCTGTCAGCTGGGGTGAGTGCTTAGAGAAGTGACCATGGAAAGGCCCCGTTTGGGGAGGCTGTCATTTGCCCTCAAGGTCCCCCAGAGGCCAGGTCAGCAGAGCTGGGTCTGCTTGCCCCATCACTCAAGTGTCTGGGTTACCCATAGCTCTGTGGCCAACTGTCCCACAGGAAAGGCCTTTCCTGACTTTCCAATGACCTGTGTGGAGGAGGCAAGGCTGACGTGTGTGAATGGAGGCCCCTGACCAGACAGCCACACATCATTCTAGGATGCCAGTTTCCCTGGCTCAGGAGGCACTCCTACCCCAGAAGTGTTTATAGGGTGCATGTCAGGCCAGGACAAAGCCGAGCCAGAGGGAAGGTGCCACAGAGGTCTTCACCCATGCCACCCTGCAGGTGGGGAGGCCAAGGCCCAAATGAGTGTGATCCCAGACAGAGGATTCCAGGTACTTGTTCTGAGCTCTGGATTCCCCTCAAGACTGAAAGCTATTGTGTGAGCAGGGGACTGTACCCAGTATCCACTGGGAACCAGCAACTCTAGGTCTTAGGCAGCGTCTTCACCTATGCCACCCTGCAGGTGGGGAGGCCGAGGCCCAAGTGAGTGTAAATGGGTGAGTGTCACATGGGGACTCGCTGCTGGTAGCCTTGTGACCCCAGACAGAGGATTCCAGGTACTTGTTCTGAGCTCTGGATTCCCCTCAAGACTGAAAGCTATTGTGTGAGCAGGGGACTGTACCCAGTATCCACTGGGAACCAGCAACTCTAGGTCTTAGGCAGCACCCCACTATACCCTTAGCCAGAAAACATGTGCAATGAGATCTTGGCTGGTTCGTGCCCATGGCCTCTTACATGCCCTGACCAGGGTGCCACCACTATTGTACCTGTCCCTATCTCCATCAGCCTGGGTGATCATAGAGGGGACCAAAGAAAAGTTTACCTCTGGCTTCCCAAGAAGTTGCCTTTATTTACATGCAGTCCCTCCTCTGCAGGGAATCTTGTGGAAGGGTCGGGATGGGACAGACCCTGCACCACTCGGAGCAATCAGCTCCAGTTCCCAGACCACGAGCAACCATCTTCCTTTGTCCATCCTCTGGAGATGTACTTCTTAGAAAAGACTGACCAGAATGCTTCCCCTGGGAGGCGCAGTGACCCTTCGTGACCACTGCCCACCACCACCTTAGGAAGTGAGAGGAAGGAAGGGTAATAGATGCCACTTTTCCCCAAGGACATGCTATAGGAGGAGGATTCCGCCCTGGGGGCCATCTCTGGGAGTTAAAGCTGGAAGGCCTCTTTGGTGAGCACTGTGGACCCTAGAGTCTTTGTAATGGTGGGGGTTCAGTGTGGGGTGTTGTCTCCGGTGAGCCCCTGGGTGGGAACTCTGTGTTTGACATTTCCCTTACGGAGTACTAGTGGTTTGATACTCTTCTTGGCATGCCCTGGTAGAATCTTCCCTTTGGGGGTGATCCTGGTTCGTCGTTGGGGGCTACTGTGAAATAGAGTTTGAGTATCTGAGGAGTCTTTTGATCCAGGCTGACTGGAAAGTGACCAGGGTTCAAGGGTTTTCCATGACTGTTTTAAGGACTATCTCTGGGTGCTAGAAAAGACAAACAGGGATTCCTTAAGTGTCACTACCCCAATATCTATTTTGTTAGGTAAACTTGTGGTCATCATCTCTTAAATGTTAGAGCTGCCTCCAGTCACTCAGGGGCATTTGCTTATCTAAGCTTCCACTCCCAAGATTTTGTAAAAACTTACAGATAGTCCTCTAGTTTTGCCTCAGTTTAAAAAAAAAAAAAAAAGTCTACCATTCAAGGCAAAGATTTAACAAAGAATCTCTCAGAAGGTGGGGACTAACATTGGCTTCAAGATTATACATTTTAGAGGGGACCAGCAGTTAGCTTAATGGCTATGTCACTGGACTCCCATGTAGTTGACCACAGTTCGAGTCCTGGACCGGCAGCTTAAACTCACAGTGGGTGTGTGTGCGCATGTGCCCAAGATCCCAAGAGAAGAATGGAGAAGGGATTGTAGTGTGGCCATCCCCCCTGGCAGGTGATTCCTTTTTGTCTCTGTCTTTCTCTCTTTCTGGCAAGCACATGCTCCCTGTAGTAAAAACCTCTCCCCCCCCACAAAAAAAAAAAAGATTATATATTTTATAATAACTATTTTCAAATTAGCTTATATGAAAAATTGAAAACTTCCCCTCCACTAGAATGTGAGCTTATTGAGGGAACTTTGACATCCCTGCCACTATATATTCTCAATGCCCAGAAGAAGACCACACACAAAGTGCTCAATGAGTATTTTAACTAATTAATGGAAAGACTGGTTAAGAGAATTCAGACCTACTCTCCTCTCAAGACAGAATTCACAGTGATTTGAGTCCCAAGTACAAAGAGGTAAGTCCAGACCTAACTACATGCTGACTTTAAGAAATCCTCTTTAGATGATACAAAGACACAGATTATTAGACAGGACCAGCAGGTGGTGTGGTGGCTAAGGTGCTGGATTCCACATGGCTGACTCCCCAGTTTAAATCCCGTATCTGGCACCTTGAAAATACACTGGGTACGTGTGTGCATGAGTGGCTGAGAATCTCCAGAGGAGAAGGGATTGCGGTCTCGCTGCTGCCCCCTTCACTCTTCCTTCCTATGGTGAATGTACATGCCCTATGGGGAAAACAGACGGACAAAAACAAACCAACAACCCTATACTAACACCAAGGAAAAGAAAACCAGGGTCTCCATTATATCACACACAAAATAGATTTCAGAGCAATTATTACCAGGACTAAAGAAGGTCATTTCATCAGGAGGACAAAACAACTCTAAGTGCTTATGTACCTAGTAACAGCTTCAAAACAAAGACAAAAACACCCTATGATAATAAAGATTTCAATATCTCACTTTTAATAAGTAATAAAACAGTGGGCAGACAATCAACAATATATAGAAAACTTGAAAAATATTAACCAACTGTACCTAATTGACAGTTACAGAATACTCCACCCAATAATAGCAAAATATATTCTTTTCAAATGCACATAGGAAATTTATCAAAAAAAATCATACCCTGGGCATAAAAATAGATACAATAACTTTGAGGAATTAAGTCACACAAAGTATGTCCTCTGACCATATGGAATGAATTAGAAATCAGTAATTTTAAAATATCTGTAATAGCAACAAACTTCTAAATGGCCCAAAGAAGAAAAAAAAATCAAAAATGAAACTGGAATTCTGAAATAAATGGAAACAAACACATGACTGAATTAATCTTTGCCTGCTTCTGTAACGAAATACATGAGTGGAGTAATTTACAAACAGAAATTTCTCACAGTTCTGGAGCTTGGGAAGTCCAAGGTGTCAAACCATTTGGTCTCTAGTGAGGGTTTTTTGCTTCAAAGATAGCACTTCTTACTGTATCTTCTGGAGAAGATGTATGCTATATCCTCACAGGGTGGAAAAAACAGAAGTGCAAAAGGGTATTAAGGCACTACCTTAAACTTTAAAAGATCATTAATCTTGGACCAAGATGGTGTAATGGTTACATTGCTGGACTTCCACATAATTAACCAGGGTTCGAGTCCTGAACCCTGTGGCTTAAAACTCATGCCAGGCTAGTGTGCATGCCCAAAATCCCAAGAGGAAAATGGAGAAGGGATTGTGGCATGGCCATCCCCTCTCCCCTGGGGGAGGGGGTGATTTCTCACTTTCTGTCTCTCTTGTTTCTCTGGTGAATGCATGCACCCTATAGGAAAAATCTCTCTTAAAAAAAAAAAATCACTAATCTCAAAAAAAAAAAACAAACACTAATCTCATCAATGAGCATGGAGTGCTCACAACTGGGTTCCAGCATAGAACTTTTGGAAGGATTGTAATGCATCACAATCTGGGGGATGTTATGAGAGCCGTATCTAAAAGGAAATACTACTGGGGAGAAAATTTTCAAATCAGCAACTTCAGCTTGTACATTAAAAAGTTAGAAAAAGAAACGCAAATTAAACCCAAAGTAAGCAGAAGAAAGGAAATAATGATCAGAATTAAAATCAATTAAAAATATGGAAAAACAGAAAAGTCAATGAAACAAAAATCCATCTTTGAAATCAATAAAATTACTTGACCTCTAGCCAGATTGATAAGGAAAATATAAGAAAGTATAAATTGCAAACATCAGGAAGGTGACAGGTGACATCACTACAGATACTACTGATATTAAAGAGAATAGGAGGCCCAGCTGCAGTGGCATAGGCAGTAGGGTCCCCAGTGTGCAATACTGTAGCTATATGGGAAAGCCTGAGGTTTGAATCCCAGGATAACCTAAACATGCCAGGTGTACCTATGGGCATGATCACAGTCCTGGTTAGGAGGCTAGGGAGAAGATCAAACTGTAATAAGACTGGCGGGGGGGGTGTCTCTCTCTATATATATATTAACAAATAGACAAATAAATATGAGAACTAAGAAAACAAATTCTTTTAAAAAATGCAAACTACCAAAGCTCACACATAAAGAAATAACCTATATATGAAGTAAGCCAGGCACAGAAAGAGAAATACCAATCTCCATATATGGAAACTGGAGTGTGAAAAAAAAAAAAAACAACCTCATAGAAGTAGAGAAAATGATGACCACGAAAGGCAGACAAAGGTGAATAGTGGAGATACAAGGATGTTGATTAACAGAATTACAGACAGGCAAGAGGTACAGTGTCTAGTATTATGAAATACAATAGGGAAAATGTGGTTAACAACTTACCGTATCTCTCAGAGTAGCTAAAACCGATTTTTAACCTTCCCAACACAAGGACAAATGGCTAAGATAGTAGATAAATTAATTACTTAATTTAATCATACTTGTATTCATGTACTGAAAATCTCATGAACTCCCACACATATGTACAACTATTATGTTAATTTTAAAAATAAGAAATAACTGGGAACCAGCAGTTAGCGTAATGGTTGTGTCGCTGGACTCCCACGTAGTCGACTGTGGTTCGCATCCCGGACCCGGTGGCTTAAAACTCACGCTGGGTGCGTGTGCGTGCGTGCCCAAGATCCCAAGAGGAGAATGGAGGAGAAGGGATTGTAGCGTGGCCATCCCCCCTGGGGGGTGATTTCTCACTTTCTGTCTCTCTGTCTCTCTCTGTCTGGTGAGTGCACAAGCCCTATAGCAAAAACCTCTCAAAAAAAAAAAGTAGATTGCATACTTGCATACAAGTAGAGTGTTATGGTGAATCCAAGACACTGGAGAGAAGAGAGTGAGGTGGGGAAAGGGAGAACTCGATTAATAGATTTAAGAGTGCATGTAAACAAGAGAAATGGGTTATAGACTATTATAGCATGGTGGAATGAAAAATATTAGTGATGATAAATATTTCAAAGGCCCAGTAGAGCAAATTTCAAATGTGTATAACACAAAGTAACGCTAAACTCTGGAGAAGGTAGATATGTTTATTTCTCTGATTAGATTATTATATATTGTATATTTACCTTGAAAAAAATCCACTATAGGGGCCAGTGAGTAGCATGGTGGTTAAGGCAGCTGGATTCTACATGGTTGACTGCGCTCTTTGAGTTCTGGAATCGGTGGCTTGAAAAACATGCTGGGCAAATGTGCCCACATTCCTGAGAGAAGAATGGGGGAGAGGGGATTGCAGCATAACCATCTCCTCTGGGGGATGATTTCTCACTTTTCTCCCTCCCTCTTTCTCTTTCTCTGGCAAGCACTGTGTCCTGTTATAAAAACAAAAATAAAAACCAAACACACTATAGCCCACAAAGATACACAGCTATTATATGTAAATATAATATATGGGACTAGCAGATGGCATAATGGTTTTGTTGCTGGACTCCCACATGGCTGACCACAGTTCAAGTCCTGGACCCAGTGGCTTGAAACTCACATCAGGCATGTGTGCATTCGTGCCCAAGATCCCGAGAGTGGAGAAGAAAGAATTGCTGCATGGACATCCCCACTGGGGGGTGATTTTTCACTGTCTCTCTGTCTCTGTCTCTCCAATGAGTGCCTGTGCCCTATCACAAAAATCTCTCCTTAAAAAAGAAAGTACAATGAAATAATTTCTTTAAAAAGAACTAAAACTATAACTATAAAAACATAAGTTCACATCTTCATAACCTTGAATGTGGCGATTATTTCTTAAGTATGACATCAAAAGCAGAGGCACCAAAAAAAAAAAAAACAAACAGATAAACAAAATTAAACTTTTGTTGGGACCAGCAGATAGCATAATGGGTATATCACTGGACTCCCACATAGTCAATTGCAGTTCAAGTCCTGAACCTGGGAGCTTAAAACTCACATTGGGTATTGGGACCAGCAGTTGGCATAATGGCTATGTCATTGGACTCCTATGTAGTCAACCGCAGTTCGAGTCCCGGACCTGGTCGCTTAAACTCATGCTGGGCATGTGTGCATGTGTGTCAAGATCCTGAGAGGAGAATGGAGGAAAAGGGATTACAGTGTAGCCATCCCCCCAAGGGGTGATTTCTCACTTTCTGGCTCTCTGTTTCTCTCTGTCTTTATGGTGAGCGCATGCACCTTATGGCGAAAACCTCTCAAAAAAAGGAAAGAAAAGAAAACTCACTCACGCTGGGCACTGGTGAGTGTATGCCCCAAATCTGAAGAGGACAATGGAGGAGAAGGGATTACAGTGTGGCCATTCCTCCTTAGGCACTGCACAGAGGAGGTCAGATCCACATGGACAGGTTGCTTGCACTCTCTCTCATGTGAATATGTCCTATCATGAAGAAAAATAACAGACAAGTGGGCCAGTAGATGGCGTGGAGGTTAAGGCACTGGATCTTACAAGGCTGCTAGTTTAAGTTTTAAGCCTGGTGGCTTGAAAATCACACTGGGTACATGCATGTGAGTGGCCAAAGTCCTGAGAGGAGAATTGAGAAGAGATTGCAGTGTGGCCATTCCTCTGGCAGGGAGGTGGGGAGATTCTCATTTTCCCTCTTTCTCTCTCATGTAAACATATGTGCCCTACAGCAAACTAAAATAAATATTAATACAAAATAACAACAGAAAAAAACCCCACACAGGTTACCCTCTTGGATGGCCATTATCAAAAACACATAAAATAAATGTTGGAAGAGATGTGAACAAATTGGACTCCTGCATTGCTAGTAGGAAATAAAATGATGCAACTTGTGAAAAACTGAATGTGGGGTCAGCAGGTGGCATGGCGGTGAAGGTGGCTGGATCTCACATGGCTAACTACACAGTTTGAGTCTCAGACCCAGCAGCTTGAAAACTATGCCAAGCACGTGTGCATGCATGCCCAAAATTCCAAAGGAGAATGGAGGAAAAGGGATTGTGGTATGACCATCCCCCATGGAAGGGGTACTTGCTCATCCTCCCAACGCCCTGGTGAGCACACACACCCTCTAGTCAACTAAACACACACACACACACAGATATATAAAATCGAATGCCTGTTAGGCTAGTCCTATAGCTTTGTTGTTAAAGGAGCCATATCCCACATGTCTGACCATGGTTTAAATCCTGGCCCCAGTGGCTTGGGAAAAAAAAACAAAAACTGTATGGGGGTTCCTCAAAAAAATTAAAGTGGCTAGAAGGTGATACAGAAGTAACACACAATGCCCTGACATACATGTAGAGCCACTGATAATAATACATATTTTGGGGGTGCAGCATGATTTTTCAGTACAAGAAAACAATGTATAATGAATAAATCATGGTAATTATTGTAATATACTCAACTATTTGTCATTACTTCTGTCAGGAAAGTTCACAACCCTTTTTATCTAGCTACTCTGATATATAAGTAAATTGTTAACTATGTTCACTCTATAGTATTTTATAACACTAGAAATTGTTCCTCTTCAATGTGATGTTTTTCTTGCTTCCATTTTAGCAGAATTCTTGTTGCTCTGATAGGGGCTTTTTTTCAAAATGATGTCTTATCCTTCTTTGTGCCTCAAAGTAGATCCTGCTTATATATGTTATTAAAAGTATGAGTTAATATTTCAGTACCAAAAAACTTTGAAATCTATAGTTTTTCAAACCCCCAAGTCTGGGACTCGAACTGCAGTCGGTGATGTGGAAGTCCAGCAATTTAACTACTACACCACTTGCTGACCCCTAAAAATTATGCACATTGAGACAGAGAGATGGACTCAATAATGCAATCCTCCAGCCTCTAGTAGTTTCTGCTATGGGGGTGAGTGCCACCATGCCCATACTTTTCCACAATATGTATTTTCTGTGAACTTTTTAAGGTTTTTGCCACAGGCATGTGCACTCACCAGAAAGAGGGAAAGAAAGAACCAGAAGGGATCACCACACTGTAGTCCCTTCTCCATTCTCCTCTTGGGACTTAGCACACACACATGAACCTTTTACCTTTTATATTTCGAGCTGTCCGGTCCAGGACTCAAACCGTGGTTGGCCATGTGGGAGTCTAACACGTTAACCACTATGCCACCTGCTGGCCCATCCAAGAACTTTTTTTTTTTTTTTTTTGGAGAGTTTTTCACTGTAGGGCGCGGGCGCTCCACAGAC